GAGTTGGTTAGAAGTTCAGATGGAAGCAACGCTTACATAACTTCATCTCGTGAAACAATTAAAGCAGATTGCCATTTTCTGTGCACTGGAAAACCAGTGGGTTCAGCGTGGCTAAAAGAAACCATCTTGAAGGATGGCATGGATAGCTTTGGGAGATTGAAAGTTGATGAGAACTTGAGAATCAAGGGTCACAAGAATATCTTTGCAATTGGAGACATCACAGATATTAAGGTGAGTCCTAAGTAGCACATAAACTTTTCTTTGTTCCTTCTTCTCTTTGCATTTTCATGGTTGATCAAGGAACTATGGCTATTTCTTTTCACTTAATTGGGCATTTAAGTTGGACCTCGAATTAGACAAATGCAAATATGATAGGGATGTTCTGGTGCATTTATAGTCACTATGTCAATTTCAAAATTCAGTAACAGGTTTCATCTGCAACTCTCATGAATAAATCATAAGTGTAGAACTACGTGTTTTGTTCCAGTTGGTGTAAGTATCTTGTGCTGTTTGAACCAGATTATGCATTTCTGCCTTCCTAGTAAAAAGATGGGCCTGAATTCCTAATCAAATTGGGTAGTTCTGAAAATGCAGAGCAGCCTCTGAGATTTAACTTGGTATCTGTGGTTAAAGGAATAGGAGGAATTCGGACTGCGCTTTATGCAATTTCATGGCATTGAACTTCCTCTGATATTCAGAATTTTCTGTCAGGGATTCTCTGTAACAACTGACACTAAGAGTGGATGAAGAAAAATGAAAGAGGAACTTGGGTAACTGCTAATTATCCAAGCAATAAATAGGAGGATAGAAACACAGGATGGGAGGATTGTTAGCAATATTAACTTCTGTCATGCCATGATCAAAGGCTCTCTTTCATCAATGTCATACTTTATATACTATTTCTTTAGTGCTGACCGCTGATAGTAGATTCAAAGTTTAAAACAGCTTTGATATATCATCAGAAATCAATTCCAGTACTAACATAAGATGAACTTGTAAACCAGGAAATTAAACAAGGGTATTTAGCTCAAAAGCATGCTTTGATTGCTGCAAAAAACATAAAGATATTGATGGATGGACAAAAGGAAAGCAAGATGGCCGTTTACAAGCCTCGTTCAATCAAGGTTATTGTTTCACTTGGAAGGCATGATGCAGTGGCTCAATTTCCTTTCACAACACTGATTGGTCTTGTTCCTGGTTTGATCAAATCCAAGGATCTATTTGTTGGGAAAACAAGGAAGGCGATGGACCTTAACCCTCATATTGTTCACTACTAGTTTTGGGGTTGATTGCCTTGTTTATACATATTCTTTCCACAAATCATCTGATTTGCAAGTTGTTCTTGCCCTGTATGATCTGCACCAAAATTCATTTGTTCATCCAAACGTGCATAACTCCAACTCCTGAGTTATGATCATTGATTCATTTCTTTAGAGATATCAGTTTTCACATATTCTTAGCTATATTACATTATTATTATGATTGTGAAAGTCATAATCTGCCGACATCATGGTGTATGTAAAAATAGCTTAAATGGTATTGAACCATCAATCCAAAAGCCTAATGAGGCAAATGCTTTTGTACTAATCAACTCAATTCCACTTTTAATGGATTCTATGAGAAAAATATTAGGTATACCATGTAACAATATCACCTGGTGCATTATTTCCAATGACAATCTACCAATTCTTTTGGTTGGTCATTCTTTTTATTTATACCCACTAAACAAAGAATGATCAACTGTCATTATTTGATGATTAATTGGTCCTAATACATACCACAAGCTATACATGATTTACCCAGTAGTTTCCCAAGTCTGCCATTTGGATCAACACCATCTGCATGATGAGGTGGTACATTGATTACTTACATGACTTTGATTACAAATCTTTATTCTACATTTTCTTGAACCTAAATCGGCAATCGATGTAGATCGGGGAGCCAAGAGCTATTGGACTTCAAAAGATTGCTCCGAGGCATAATGGTATTATGTATGGTTGTTTCATTCAACAGTAATTAACAAATTTCGTCTACTAAAAGTGCTACACTTAGATAGCATAAGGTACTAAATTTTGACAGTTAATTTGCAAATCAAAAGTAGATCAGGGAGATGAATTGCAAAAAATCCTTTTTTTTTCTATGAGTTTTTTCTGGTTTATATGTTAATTTTGGAATTTTTGGATCTTTTCATCAGATTTCAACATTAGCTTTGAATTTGAATCGGTTGGATAATAAATCTAAAGAAATAGACATGTATAGATATTTATGGAACCGTTCGTGCAATTGGTGATGGTTTGTGATTTACAGTGTAATCTTTCTTATTTTGTAACTCTGTTAAATCTAATGATTTTTCATATGAGCTAAAACTGTGTCATATTTATGTATTATCTGCCATTAATGCAACGATCTTTGTCAAGTAAATTGTGTTGGCTGGTTTGTAACTAGTTTATTAATAATATTAACTTCTATTTCATAAAAAAGAATCCAAAATCAAACAAAGAAAATAACATGGGTAGAAATAATTTTTGAAGAAAAGAAATTTTTTTTTCCAATGACATCATTTTTTGATCACTGATGAGTGATGACTGCACGCTGTCGACCATCTTCTCGACCACTATCACATTGCAAATCTCAGCTGTACTAACCTCAAAATTTCTTTTTAGTGTCTCTGTGCATGTAACTGCAAATAGGCATCATGATATAAATCGAATCTCCTCAAGTAGATAGCTAACTCTATCTATAGTCTAAAGCTAGCTAGCTGCTCTGCATCTCTGTGTATTATATCCTGCTGTCAAGAATCAGCATCATCAAGATTCAAGAAGCAGGTTCATCAGAAGGGCATGGTCGTCATTCCACACCATAAAAGGTATAGTCCCAGAATAAAGGTGACCACCCAAAGTATCACCGTACTGATTCAAGAATATACTGAGATTTTAGTACTTTATAGTAACGGTAACTGCTAGTTCTATAAAGACTTTTATTCGTACAATCTGCACCGGTTGGGCTGCAACTCAGCCATGGTGCAGAAGACATTTGTAGAGTGACAGAGGAGAAAGATGTAAAGGGGAAAACAAAAAGAGCCCACATGTGTCATCACTGAGATTTTGCATGGATTTGGAGCAGAATTCCTATCTATTTTGAGTCTTTAACTCTAGATGAATTAGAATTAAAATGTTTGTTTTATAGAAAGTAGGAACTAGACAGATTTCTAAGAAATGCAGGCAATTTCAATTACATTTTTGCATGGATACAGTTTGTATAATTCCAGACAACGTACACAATATCGTTTATGTTTCACATCAATTTTTTCTTTTTTTTTTTTGAGCTATTCGCCATATCTTGGAGTTAGCTTTGTTCCTCTTATTTCACGTATGGATTAGTCTTTTTTTCTTTCTTTTTTTTTTGAATCCGGAATTTACTATTTTTTGACAAGTAAATAATAAGCCAGCAATTATACCTAAACTATTTTAGCACAAAATTCTTGACGATTATTTGGGACCTCAATCAAGAAAATTATTAAATGTAAAAACCCTCATCACGTATTCTTCGAAGCGGTTTAAAATTATATCATTTTCTATAAAAAGTACAAACTAGGTTATTTTCTAAATTAAAATTTGCATGGAAAATTGAATAGTTTATGCATGGTGTATGTATGCGTGTGCGTGTGCGTGTGCATATATATATCGTTTTTGTTTTCTGAGCTATGTGCAATATCTATATTTGGACTTATTTTTTTCCTTTCTTGATGCGCATTTGGTCGGACTTACTTTTCTATGAACAAGTAATAAGCATGTAATGTAAGTATACACAAACTATTTAAGAACAAATTTATTCATATTATTCATCCTAAACAAACAAGCATTTACATTTATGCACTTGTTACAATAACTATCCCTCCCTATACATTCTAATTTCGATACTATATGGCTTGAAAAAAGAGAGGGGACAGAGACATAAAATATGAGGTTAAATTTATGAAAATTAATTTGTGTATAGAAACGGAAAAAAAAAAGAAGAAGAGAAAAGCATACTCTCTCTCTCTTTTAAAGCGTTTGACAGTTACCTATACTATGACATTGATAAAGTATTTTCAATCAGTAGAATAAAACGTCATAATAATAATTATTATTATATAATGTTTGGTTTGTAAAAACTAGTAATAAAGATACTTTTTGCCAAACTCTTAACTAACAACAACACCTAATACCCTTTTTTTTTTTTTTGAGCAACAACATATAATACATTATATTGCATATATGGTACTGAACCCATTTGGCCCTCAGGGGCTTGATCTGGTGGTTGAGGTTGCTGAAGATGGAGCCTCAGGTCCCTGGTTCGAACCTTGCTGCCAGCAAGTTGCTGAGGATGGTGAATAGTCTGCGGGGTCCACTCCCTGCGGGACACACCTAAAAAAAAAAAAAAAAAAAGTTAAAAAAAAAAAAAAAAACCCATTTAAATAGACGTAAATCAGGTAAATTTGCAAGAACTCGATTGATGAATGTACAATTTGTGGATTTGTAGTTGTGGAACGTACTTGTCTAGTAGACTAATTTGCCAGAACTCTATAGATGCATGTACTACTAATTGTGGACTTGTAGTTGTGGAAAATACTAGTCTAGTAGACTAGTTTGCCAAGGGGGCTGCTAACAACTGCTAAAGGCTTTGCTAACAAGGACAGTAAATTAACTTTCTGATGTGCGAGTGACATCGTCGAAGGCTGCGCCGTCCCCAAGGAAAACTGGTTTGATGAGCTGGCCGTTGACAAGGGTCACCTGCACAAGTTGTCATCAGTAATAAAGATGATGAGATGAGTATCGTATCTCAGTTACTACTAGTCTACTACTACTTTGCAGATGGATTGTCGTAGTTTTAGTGTGTTAAATTGTTGTGTAATCTCTCTCCAAAATTGGCTGCTCGTGCAATCATTTGATAGCCTTCCAAGACTTCTATAAATTGGCCATTTTTGGCTTCATAAGCTTCACACTCACCTTTCCCTCTACCTTCTTTCTGAGAGATTGCATTTGCATGCACTAGTAAAAGTATTGTACCAAAATGGCCTTCCTTTCTATTGTTTCCAAGTCTGCTGTCATGCTCTTCATCACTGCCTTGTGCTTCCTCTTTGTCATGCAGCTCCAAGCTTCTGGTACTTGAGTCTTCGTGTTTGTAGATGTGAGATTAATTGATAAAGTTTGGTACTTGAGTTTGGTTATTGATTATTAACATGTATTTTAGCCTTGGCAGATTGCAAGATGGGCAGTGGATGCTTCTACGTCAAAGCAACTCTGCATGAAGTGCATTCCAGAAAGGTGATTTTTCATATGCAGCAAAATGCATCAATAACTAAGTGAAAAATCAGAAAATCTCCCTATAAGAAAAAAAAAAAAGGAAAAAAAATGTTTAAAGGGTACTCTTTTTTTTTTTTTAAACATTTCTTTGGTTTATTTTGATGCACTGAAATGTCAAGTAATTTTGGTTTTACACTTGTATAGTTGCTTGAAGGGATGAAGGGCAATGAAATGGTTTTCAAGAGTGGCATGGCTGGATCGGCAAGTGGTGGCAAAGGGATGAAGGTTGGTGCTGGTTGGGAGTTGAGGGAGGCTCCGATGGGTCCAGACCCCTTGCACCACCACGGTGGCGGCCCCAAGAACGCCAAGACACCATAGTGCTTTTGTGGATCCCCACCCTTTTGAGACAGAGTTGTCTTAAGTTTTGGCTACTCCGATCCTGCTATAAATCTAGAAAATGTGCGATAAAGTTTTTTGGCTTGCTTAGTATGATGTTAACATGTAAGATACTTACTATCGTTTCCTAATGGTAATGTAATGCTGTCGTAGCATGATCTTTTGCTCTATATACAGTGCACTATTTTACTGTTAATCCAAAGCAGAAGGCGCATTATATTCCCTTGAACTAAGTCATTAGACATCGACTACATTTTAAGGACATTCAGCTATATCAACAAAAAGTTTGGACGACTTAACTTTGGACCATACATTCTAAAAAGAGGGAAGAAAGTTCAAAAATGTGGTTTTGTTTTCTCTCTTGAGATTCATTAAACCCTAAAAACTTGTAAAAATCGAATGCCCTACTTGAATGCCCATCTTATTTTGCCAAAGAAGTCACTTACAATTGTCTTACAAAATCTCTGCTGGCGCACCAGCCCAACAGGGCCATTAGTTACAATTGTTTTTGTTTTGTTTGTATTATTGTTCAATATTAAGGGCATTAAACAACTCCCCTTTGATAGTAAATTGTTACTCTGTATGAAAGTTGCAATGTTACAACTCTCGGAGATTGCGACAAATTTTCTTAATCCAATACTTGATTCCACAATTAATGAAAAGCTCTTTTTTAAAAAAAAAAAAATTATTTTATTCTTTCTCACATCCTTTCTCACACCCTTTCTATCGTTGGAGACAGAATTCGAACCCGAACCCAAATCAGTCTAATTGAACTAGCAAGCAACTTTTATTCAAGATATATATATCATCCAACAGGATGATCTAGGCAGTCTTTTCTGAAATTAATAGTCTAGTCTGGTCAGAGGTAATGCTATCATAAGTTACCTGGTTTTAGCTTTGGTAGTACAATTTTCTTTGTAAGTCTTGTGTCAGCTGTAATTAGATGGCAAAGGCTTCTTTTTTTTTCTTTTTTTTTCTTTCCGTCGTTTCTCTGGCAAGGGAAGGCAGCCTCTCGCATGGAAGAACACTTTTGTCTCCCTTGCCGGAAAGAGCGGTGCTTAGAGGTCTACTAGGGAAGAAAATGCCTTTCAATGCAAGATGCTCGTGCTTATATGTAATGTCTTAATTATGTCGATGCAATTTATTTAGTATACGGATAAAATTTGTTGTTGGTATAGAAATAAAAAACAACCAGTTATATAGGGCGATGATAACCAACTGCCCAATGGTAGAGACAATTAGAGATTAGCAATGAGAAAACAACCAGTTATATATAAAGAAAATTAAGGTTAAATTAATAGTAGTAATTGTGCACATTCTTTTGAAGCAAACTTGATATTTACTCTAATGGCTTGCAGTCAATCTCCGTCAGTCACCATTGATTATTGAGCCAAGTGGTAAAGAACTCGATACTACTTAAGTAACGTCTCTACAGTAAGTTTTGTGAATGAAAAAAATAACGTTGAAAATATCTTTCGAAAAGAATCTGACAATATTGCTCGACTTTAAATTAATCGGATCCAATATGATCACCGGACGTTCGAGTTTACACCAATTCTCTCCTAGTCCACAAAGGGATCCCAAAACTCAAAAACTAGTTCGAAGTAAACTTTGTTTGGTTTTCGTATTTAACGCTTCAAATTAAGGCAACTAAAAATTCAGAATGCTAGTCCAATTTCAAAAGGATCTCAAGCATCCATAATTAGTCTGCTGTCTCTCAAGTCGTTGATCAATTCCAAAAGGCATCCCAAGCATCCTTCATTACTCTGTTGTCTCCAAGTTCTTGATGAGCTCATTGTTCGCTTTTTCAATCTTCAAAATTTTATCAAGGTCTGCATAGATCACCGCAGGGCCACCCAATCCTGTTAAGAGTCTTCCTGAATCTGCATGCCATGCATTAAAACCGGTGACTAAAAGGGCCTCTGCAAGCGGCAAAGACCACATCAATCGATCAGTCCCGCTTGATTTGGATATGATAAAAACAGCCATCCATATCCATATATACACACAAAGAATAATCAAATCTAATCATTGCGTATCAGTTGAATTTACTTCTATTGACAAAATCCCAGTTCACAGCTACATTTGTATAGCTATGTACCCATAAGATCTTTTCAATCTGTGCTCATATACATTGACTTTACACCCCTATGTACAGATTTCTTGTGTTCATTTCATGCAGCAACAACTACCCATTTCATAGTTTATACACAAGAATGGCAATATAGTAAAATACTGCTTTGATGTGAAGAGAATAATTTTTAGTATCTACTGAAGAGAATCCCAGATGAGATTTTCGTACTTCTACCAATTTGATTCTGAATTTAGTACATTGGAGAAAAAAGGCAAAATCTCCTGGAAAAAAGTGACAGTATATAATTTGTGAGCTTCATAGTCCACCGTACCAAAGTGGAATCTAAGCATAACAGAAACTGCAAGTTGTAAAGGCAATACATATCTGATTTTATCAGAAAAAGTTTCCATATGATCATGGCAAATGCTGTTAGGGGTGGCTGGCTGGGAGATGTCACCATATCTCGAGGGGAAGCATAATGAGCTGGAGCAGTCGATATAGGATACATACACTCTAATCTTTATTGTAGAAGCCTTCGTTTTTTTTTTCTTCTAGCATTGAGGCAAGTTTTATTCCCATAAATTTTTTTTTTTTAAAAAAAAGGTTTGTTTAATGGGTGTACAAAATGTTTCAAAGGTGTTAGTTTTTAAGAAAATTAAAGCTATATCAGGAAAGGGTTTAATTGCAATGGACAGATAATCAATTTGAGTGCATATATTGACATGGTGATCTTGGCATAAATTATGTGTACTAACACGTGTATATGGAGCCTCCATTAGAAAAATCTTTAGAAAGAAAAAAAAAAAAGAGCAAGTTTTTTGGAAAAATTATATACTCTATAGGATATGTCATCCAGAACATAATTACTAATTAAATACACGTAATTTTGTATTTAATCCCCGGCTATTAATATGGGAATAAAAATGCTTAGATATGGAGGGTGAATCAGCATCTAATTATTCCCATCTCTAGTTGAATTAATCTCACACTCGCTAATATGTGCAGACAATTGCTAAATATGAAAGGATTAAGTCATCAAAAATGATGAAACTTTGACAAGAATTTATTTAGTCGATGAACTTCAAATTCACCAATTAATTCAGTCATGGACATTTCCAGTGGTTCTTGATACATACCTTGGGACTCATGTGGCACGATATGATTTACTAGAGGAGAGAAAAACTTTGCTCGAATTGGAATGAGGGCCAATTAGAAAATAAAGAATAAACATTCAAGGATTAAATCGGTGAATTTTCAAACACTAGCATTAGAGCACATGGATTAAAAATTTCTAGGGATATTTTTTTTTGTAATACTAAACTAAATTTGTTTTTCTTTTGAATAAAGATATAAAAGTTGATATTCCACGTACTTTCTTATTCTGTTACAGTTCAAAAGAATTTTTATATAAAGAAAAAGTAAAGACTATATACCATTTATGCTTCCCAGCTTTCCAAAAGGGTTTTATTTGTTTTTGAGCCTCTGTTGCCTTTGCCATTCTTTTGATCTTCTTCCTTAGTTTTTGATCATAGAACTACGACAGTTCGATGAATTAGTACAACTGCCTCAATTCCAAATGATATAATTTGTAGTAATAAGATTCAAGTGCATAACCAAGCTGTGAAATTCCATAATTTCCAATCTGAATTCTACCTTATCCGCGATCTTGGACATGCAAAAGCAGTTTTTATGTCATTAGTACTCGAAAGAATCATATGATGAGCCATGTGAAGGAATTCCTCGTTTCTACTTTATGTACTACGAAATGCGAAGACTTGATCCAAAAGTATCGTGGGAGGGAGCAGCATTTCAGTAATATGATGAAATCTAGATTGCAGGTTCATGCAACGGTTTGTTGCTTATAATTCTTGTAAGTGCTTTCTACTTGTGGAATCCATGGACAACATACTTCAGCCACATACTAGAATTAGACGATATGGACCTGACTATGGTGCAAGAAATCCTCACTATATATGTTGTACAAATTCTGGGAATTGTTACAGCTCATGCACAGACGATTAGAAGCAGTGATATGGATTACAGATAGATAGACAGACTCCAAATTGTAAAGATGATCTTGTTTTGGAGGCAGGATTGAAAAACAAAGGTTGGTAAGAGCTAAATTTTCCTTATCAGCGTCCTGAAAGAACAACAGGAGTGTTATTCAATGGTTTTCTGCACTTGAGAGCTAATAATGGTGATGATTTTTGTAAATATCTTCCACCTAATAAGATCATTGATTTTGATTCAAAAACTGATCATGTGAGTGAGGTTGCATTGCTGAAGGACTGCCGAAGCAAGGAAGACAGTGTCATATTTGGAGAAGTCATCAAAAATATCTCATTTACCATAATGGGGTAATTTATATTTTCCATCCTCTTAACTCTAGTTCATTCCTACCTCACTACTATCTACTTGCAGGACCTCCGTTGGTGGTGTAGGATTCCACTGAAATCTGTTTACGTTCTATGTTAACTTTCCTAGTATGCTCAAACAAGCTAAAGTAAGCAAGACAAAATCAAAATGGTGGACATTCTATCAAAATTTCATTTGTGCAACGAAATAAATTTCAAGGAGGGAAACAGATTCTGTGTTCTCTTCAACAACATGAACATCCGACGTTACCAATGATTCAGTCATACTCGTACAATTCTGATAAATTACTCTCTGGCATGTAACCTGATAGTCTTAGCTCTAGCGACAACAATTCTAGCATGGCATAAACGTACTCTGTCTCAACATGGGATTTATCACCAGCTACAAATTCATGGATGACACCATCAAGCTCAATTGAACTGATTCCTGGTTTTTTCCGTACCCCAAGTGCCTTCATTTTCTTCCTAACATGGCTTGCCCCATGCCAACTTCCAAGTGCTGCATATATGTTGGAAAGCAATACATGATTAGAATCTCCTTCAGGATCCATTTGATAAATATAACTCATAAGCCTTTCAGCCAATTTGACATCCCCCTTGTTCCTACATGC